AATCTCAAAATAAACCTACATTAGATTATCTTTGCGAAAATTGTCGAAACCGTAAACCTTGTTCCTAACAAGAAACTCTGTTCATCTCTAGTTTACGGTTGTATTTTGAGTAATCTGTTTTCTAAAGCCGAGCTTAGGGTTGGCCTTGATGTCGCTTTTCCACTCAAAAACCAAATCAATCTCTTTTCTTTAACTAAATTGGGATGGAAGATCAATGAAGAGACTGGTATATGAGTTCATACTTGAGAGCAACCTCCGGAAGCAGACGACGCTGACGATGAGGCGGAGCAGCATGAGGATCAAGCACAACAAGAAGATCAAATGCCTCCATATTTTCAATCTTTTATGGAGACATTCAATTTTCGATATGCATCCATGGACTCACGACTAACTTCCATAGAATCCAATTTATCATCTATGGGAGCTCAACAATTGGAGATTCTCCGGGAGATGCGCGCAAACAACACAACAATGAATGAATGTATTAATTCGCTCGCACATGATATGGCCGCAATGCGAGCTCATTTTTCTCCTCCCAATCCTCCAACGGATGTTTGATTCTTGATGTGCCTTACTTCACTTAGATGGGACTTAGAAAGTATTGTTTTAACATTTTGGATGTTTGAATTTGTGGATTGTTTGAATTTGGATGCTTACATGTTTGAATTTATGTTTTGGATGTTATGGATGATTTGAACTTATATGTGGATTTACTTAAATTTTAATTTTGTGCATCATTTTAGATATATGACCAATTTTGCCATTTCACTTTCGTTTATGAATATTGATTATGAAACTAATGGCTAATATCTCTTTTGATTGTGTTCTTAGCAGCTTAAGCTTTAAATTTCTAAATATCAATTGACTAATTTTTCAAAACCTTGTTTAAAAACGTTTCAGAGTCTTTTTTATTTAACAAAAAGGGGGAGAAGTGTAATAGTAAGGGGGAGTAATTTCAAAATCGATTTCAAAATTTATTTTCCATTAGAAAATCTTAAAATTACTAAAATGTTTTGTTATATCAAAAAGGGGGAGATTGTTGAAAACATTTTGATGTTTCGATATACCAAATTAAGTTAAATGAATTTTAAGATTTTATAAAAGGTTTTCTTAAGTATATTCGATATAATTATTCGAATATCAAAATATTACTACAAGTCTTGAGGGAGTTGTAAGGTTATCTCTTTGGCCTCAAAAGAAAGAACAAATTAGTGAATTTTTTGGAAAATCCTTAGTGTGGATAGCTAAGGTAGTGGACGTAGACTTTGGTTGAGAAAGTCTGACCACTCTAAATCGTTGTGCAATTACTTTCAATTTTCTGCAAAAGCTTCCACTAATTTTTTTTAATTACCAATTCAGCCCCCTCTTGGCCAATTCCATTGATCGATTAACTCAACAGTTCTGGTTAAGGTAAATGAATTAATTTTTCCGATGGATTTCTATGTCATCGATATGAAAAATGACCGAGCCAACACTTCTTCCAAAATCCTACTTGGTCGACTTTTCTAAGCACGACATATACTAAAATTAACGTTACGAGTGGAATTCTTTCTATGGAATTTGACGGTGAGGTTGTTAAATTTGATGTTTATAAATCGATGAAGCATCCCGATTCTATGTCAAACATTAGCTTTGTTGATATGATTGAACATTCTGAACATAATTTTTTTTATAAGTTGTACAAGAACTCGAAGAATGAAACTACGAAGGCAATGAAATTGGATATCACTTCTAATATGGACTCGCGATCATCTGTCAAAGAGCTAAATAAAAATTTAAATTTGATGCCTTATAAATCTAAAATTTTCTCATCCATGTATCATGTATCAAATTTGGAGATAAAACAAGTGCTGAAACATTTGAAGAACACGTTTTTGGGTAAATAACATATTTCACCGATTATTATTTCGGACAAGCTTTAAAAGATGAAAAAAGATCCGAAGAAAAAACTTATGAGAATATCAAAATCTACAAGGATAAAATAAAAATTTTCTATGATCATAGAATTTCTCGTAAAGAAGTTCTTAGTTGGACAATAGCGTAGTGAAAGTATCTCTCGAAGAACTTGTAGTCTGAAACAGGTCGTCGAACTAAATAACGTTAAACAAAAGCACTCTAATGGGAAGCAACCCATTTTTTCTTTCTTCGTTCAATTTATTTATTTTACTATTTTTTTCTAGTTATCTATTTATTTTTCTTTGTATTTTTAGGAATATCGGGTATTTTGATCAAGCTTAGAGATATGATCATGAAGTTTATTTGTGTTTCATCATATTAGACATGAAGAGTATTATACTTTCTTTCACTTTGTGCATTACTTTTATTTATTTTTCGTATTAGGACAATACACTTTAAATGAGGGGAGTAGAGGGAGAATTTCACCGTGTTCATTCATATTGGTTTAATGGGATATTTTGATGCTTATGATTGTTGCTTGCCTTGGTTGACTTGTTAGTTTTGTCATAATCTTCTGTTTACAAGATTGAGTTGACCTTGTTATGCAATAATAATTGATTTGAGTTGATAAAATGATTTTATGAAAGCCTTTAACCTTGTGGTATAATTGTTAGTGTTGCTTAAATATGAGCTTGTGCTTATTTCGCTAGTGATTAATATTTTCTTTAGGTGTATAACCTTGTGAGGCGATTGTGAGTGGTAGTTTATTTGAATGTGACCATATTGGAGAATCGGGGAGAGATGCTTGGGTTGTCATCTAGTTTCCAGTTTAAAGGTTCATTGAAGAGTTGAGACTACATAGTTTAAAAAAATAAAGAGAAACGTAAAAAAAGGGAGGAATTTCAAAAAGAATGAAAATTTTAAAAAATGAAAAATGAAAAAATAGGAAATAAGCGCTTGAATACAAAAAAAAAAGAATGAGTGGTACAAAAGGGAGGCAAATAAAACTCACACTCCGCCAATCACTTCTCATGAGGAAACTAAACTTGGTTCGATTTCATCTCACAAGCAAAAAACAAAAGCTCTTCACATCTAACCCTTATCCATTTGGTTAATTGTTGTTCATTGGGTTAGCTTGCCACTTTTATTTGATTATCTTGCCTAACTTTTTCAACCCATGCCTGAACTTGAGATTTAATAAAACTTTTTGAGTGAATCTTTGGTAAGTGATGGAAATAGGGATTGAAGTATGCTTGAGGACAAGCATTGAATAAGTGAAGGAGAATTTGATTAGTGTTTTATATTACATATATTTATTGTTATTTACTCCTTATTTTTTTATTAGATATTACAAATTTATCTTTATTTTGAGTTTATTTTGGACATGAGTTTTATTGGATTAATTAACCCAAAAAGTAGCAGATTTCGATAGTCTAATCAGCATCTTGAATATTTAGTTGGAATTTACCTGACATAAGGTTATCCATAAGATGAAGCAAAATTCAACCCGAAGTACAAAACTTAAATATTTATTTTTATCTTTTGTGATAAACCTTTTAGATTTAAGATTTTTAGTTTGATTATTTTATTTAGGAATTATTTATCTTATTAGAACTCTTGGTAAAAATTTTAGTTTGATTAAGAATTAGTCATTTTATTTACTTAGAACTTTTGGGTTATAAATACCCCTTAGGTTCAACTTTTGAACTCATATTGGAATTTATATTCCCTTGGCTATTTATTGAAATTTTACTTTTCTTTCATTTTTTTTACTTTTCTTTCATTATTTTCTTTTCACAATGCTAAGCATGATCCATGCTTGGCTAAACCTCTTTTAGTTGATAGCTGAGCAACGACTCAATCCTTTTAATGAGAATTGAGAACGCGCTTCATATCTTCAAAGTTCTTTCTTGATTTTCGGCAAACAAATTTAGGTAATCGACTTAATCTTTAAATTCTTTACATTTTCAATTCAAAAAGTCGATGTTGGTTTGGAAGATTGTTTTGAATTACCGTTGGGAGGAGAGTTGGCTTGTAGCGAATTCAAATCCCTAAGAACAAACTTAGCGGCGATTCGTTAAGGGAAATCAAGATCGGATTCGATTCTCATTGAGCCGCATAATCCGAGCATAAACTTTTCCAACATTAAAGAAGATATTGGTGTTAACATCGATAGTCGAAGTTAAATTCAAACAAGGATTAATTTTCAAGAATTGATTATGGGAATTAATTCACATGAGAGAGGGTTGAGCCTTGTAGACTGTAACCAACAAGATTTCGAAGTAGAATCTATTTCAAGGATCGAGACAAGTCGAGTTAAAGCGAATCTAGAAGATATCTCCTATCATTATCTCTTTCAATTATTTATTTTTATTTAATTTTAGTTTATTCAATTAAATTCAATAAACCTCATTTCTATTTTAGTTTGCAAATTTTCTGGTTAGAGATCAAATCAGATTTAATTGAAAATTCCTTAGTCCTTGTTGATTGACCCTACTTCTCTATACTATTTTACTTATTTAAATCGAGAATTATATTTATTTATTTGACAATTACAACGATTTTCATCTACATTTTTGTAGGATTATTGAATGAATGAAATAAATGACTGGAATTATCTCATTTTTTTCATGTGCATATCTTCTCATTTCATACTGAGAGTCTCAGCTGTTTATTTTCACTCATTGAACGATCCTAAAAAGTGAAAAACTAAAAAGCTTCACATTGTAAAATGGATCATATATATATATATAACACTTTAATTAAACGAACACCAATTAAGAATTGTAGAGGCAACTACTTTGCTGTAAGCAAAATTTAAGCATTTGGTACCCTAGCCCACGTCCCCGCTTCATCACTTACAAGTTTTTGATAGTTTCATCCAAGTGTATCCTAGAATATCATCAGCCAGTATTTGGTTTTGGTAGAGGTATGTTCTAAGCAAATTCAAGTTCAAAGTGAATTTATGATTTTCCTTTTCAAAATTCCAGCTAGAATTTCCCAAACCATGCATGAGAGAGATCCCAAATCTAAAACGCCCTTACATGAAATGAAAGTCTATCATGGAAAGTAATCAGAATGAACAAATCGTACCCAAATGTCTTTTGTTTCCCATAAACTGATCTTGAAATTCTTTAGCCAATGATAAAATTAAACAATTCTACTACAGTCCCAACCGGATTATGCAGATGCTGCATGCACAAGCTACAGTTCGGATTAGGCTGCACGCACAGGCACATATTGATGACCTAAGAATTTCAGTTCACGTTATAATTATGAATCACTGGCAGAAACTGAGGAAACAGCACTCCAGGAAACCTGGTGAAACGGTTTTATCCAAGGAAATTCATGATCACCAAATGGAGCACCAAGTTGCAAAGAACAAAATCTGCAAAAGCTCGCTCAGGTGGTAGATCCTGCAATTAATATGAGCATTATAAAGGTGAGGATTTAACATGCTGTCGAATGTTCACACCTATATATAACGCCCGATAAGGTGATACCCCCAACTAAGCCCTTGGGTGATAAAAGGGGCAAACAGCTTCAAATGAATTGAACTACTCAATTTGAAGTTAGAAGGATAATAAGATCATCTGATTTTGTTTTTCTTCCCCTGCCTCAGAAACTACAGGAATGTAAGGCAGAGAATTAGAAAAAGCTTACCTTGAATTCCTTGTTTTCCTTGTTCACTTGAATACGAAGACAAACTGCATCGAACCAAAGCCAAAATGGTGTCAGATAGGTCTTTTACCTTGCAAAACAGCCATGATACAAAATCCACTTACCAGCAAGGACGGCTGTCCCAACACAAGAAAGCACTCCAGAAAGAAAGGAATTGAAAGGAAATGATCCCACACTAGCCATGTAAACCACCTGTGGATCCTCAATGGAAATCAGAATTTAAGAACATATGATCAACTAAATTAAATAATAGCCGGATATAACAACACAAACAAACAAAATCCGGGTTGCAAAAAAAAAATTCAAAAGATGCACGACCTTAGTCCAACAATTAAACAGTAATCGCTCTATTGTAAGCTGGTTTTCATGTAATTTCAAAAATGTTCGGCATGATATTTATCTAATTCATTCAGTACACACTTGCAATTTCTAGTTTCCTATTCTAATTATCTACTTTTTAAGTGCGTTTCAAGGAAGACTGCTACGACGAATGAAATATAATGTGAAACGAGAGAATTGGAATCCCAATAAGAACAAATCAATAAAATTGAGTGACTAAAGATCAAGGAAAGAAAAGGAAGTACCTGAATCAGAGCTGTGAAGACTGCGAAACCCACATATAGATCAATGATCTGTATTTAGAAAGCCCCAAAAGAAATCATTAGAAAAATAAGAGTTAAAAGGGAAGGAAGGAGAGGGCAAGAGAAACCTTGAGATTGACAGGAGTGGCAGCATAAGCAGAACGAAGAGAATGGAAGAGAGCTTGTGCATTGTCCTTGCTGGATTTTTCTCTAGCCATTTTTGCCCTAAACTCACAATTCCACAGCTAATAACACTGGTGAATCTCGTCTCCTATAACAACATTGAATCATATCGCTTAGTCAATAATATACTCGGTCAACCATGAGTTGATCTCAAGATTCAATCTCCACCATTCATATATCTAATTTTATTTAAAATAGGCTTATTTTATAAATTAGTACTTGAACTTTACAACTTTTCTAAAATTGATAATTAAACTTATAAAAAAAATAAACGAACAATCAAATTGATAATATGACATTGAACTATTAAAATGATGATGTCAAAGGCTCGATAGAGTTGAAAAATTAGAGAAAAAAAGTAAGGTTTAAAAAATATATATTTTGAATTAACTCATATATATTAAACCGAAAGTGGAATTGGAGAATGTTAAAAGGTAATTTTACACAAAAAGTGCTTCAATTCTTTTATTCATTGTACAAATGATTTACAAAACTAAGGCCTATATATACACATCCATCAACAGTTATCTAACAAACTAACAAATTAATAACTGCCTAACTAACTAAATAAATGAAATCTAACACTCCCCCTCAAGTTGGTGGTTAAAGATGTTAATTAACCCCAACTTGAAAATCAAGTATTCATGTTGTTGAACTCCCAAGGCCTTTGTTAGAATGTCTGCTTGTTGATATGTTGTCTTCACATACTCTGTTTCAATTATTCCTTCTTGAATCTTTTCTCGTACAAAATGGCAATCAATTTCAATGTGCTTTGTTCTCTCATGGAAAACTGGATTTGCTGCTATTTGAAGAGTTGTCTTGTTATCACACATCAATTTAGCTGGTCTCATGTTCTTGAACCCAAGCTCACTTAACAGTCCTGTTAACCAAACTACTTCAACAGCAGTCATTGCCATGCTACGATATTCTGCCTCGGCAGATGACCTTGCTATTGTATTTTGTTTCTTGGACTTCTAAGACAACAAGGAGTCTCATAGTTTCACACAGAAACCTATTACTAACCTCCTAGTAGTCAGGCAAGTCGCCCAATCTGAGTCACAAAAAGCCTGAAGTTGGCATTGACTTTTTGCACTTAGCAACATTCCTTGACCTGGTCTACCTTTGATATACCTGACCACCCTCAAAGCTGCTTCCAAGTGTAATTTCCTTGGTTGCTGCATGAATTGGCTCAGTAGTTGTACTGAATAAGCAATATCATGTCTTGTGTTAGTGAGGTAGATTAACTTCCCAATCAACCTTTGATAACCTGTTTTGTCTTCTAACAACTCATCTTCAGAAGCCAGTCTTTTATTCTGTTCTAAGGGAGTTGCAGCAGGCCTTGCACCTCCTAATCCAGTTTCTTCAATTAACTCTAATGCATATTTTTTTTGGCTTATAACTATTCCCTTTTCTGATCTCAATATTTCTAAACCAAGAAAATACCTTAGTTCACCCAGGTCTTTCATCTTAAAGTTTCTATTCAAAATATCTTTGAGTTCTTGAATCAGTCTACTGTCATTTCCAGTTATCAAAAGATCATCCACATATATGGGCATTATGACAATTTTGCTTCCTTGTGACTTAGTAAACAATGAGTAGTCAAACTTACTTTGAGAATAACCTGCCATTAGAAGAGCCTCTGTCAGCTTCATGTTCCATTGTCTCGAAGTCTACTTTAGCCCATATAAGAATTTTTGCAGCCTACACACCTTGGTCTCCCCTTGACTGCAAAAACCATCAGGCAAGGACATGTATACCTCCTCAACCAAATCACCTTGGAGGAAAGCATTGTAAACATCCATCTGAAAAAGAGGCCATTGATGAATAGATGCAAAATCCAGGACTGTTCTTACAGTGACCATCTTTGCCACAGGAGAGAAGGTCTCAACATAATCAACCCTTTCTCTTTGAGTGTATCCTTTAGCAACAAGACGAGCTTTAAAATGCTCTACTTCACCATTTAAATTATATTTGATGCGATACACCCACTTACTTCCAATAGGAGTCTTATTAGAGGGTAGGGGAACCAATGACCAAGTATTATTCGATTCCAAAGCTAAAATCTCCTCATTCATAGCCTTAACCCATACAGGATTTTTAATGGCTTCATTATAGGTCTTAGGTTCAACCAAGTGAGAAATAGAAGAAATGTAAAGTTGAGTTTTAACAGGAAGATGAGAATAAGAAAGAAAATTAGAAATTGGATAAGTACCTGGAAGAGAGGAAGATTGGTAGGACTGAACATAATCATGTAACCAAGCAGACTGTTTTTTTACCCTAGTAGATTGTCTAGGATGAACAGAAATACTACTTGAGGAAGAGTCATCAGAAACAGAAGGCTGAGGTGAAGGTTGAGGTAAAAAGGAGTCATTTATTGAAGCTTGAGGTGATGCAAACTGGTTTGAAGACCCAAAAGGTATAGGAGAATTGGGCTGAGTAGTATGAAAGGGCATGACCAAAAAATCTGAATCAGAAACATCTTGAATAGGAAAAAATAAGGAAGAAAAGGAAATTGGAAATTTAAAAGGGAAAACTTCTTCATGGAACTTGACATCTCTATTAACAAAGAATGTTTGTTTCTCAAGATTAAACAGAATGTAACCTTTTTGAGTAACAGAGTAACCCATGAATATGGAAGGTATAGTTTTTGAAGAAAATTTGTCCTTATAATTTGGTTAGGTGGCATAACACAAACAACCAAAAACTCTCATATGAGACAGATTTGGAGGTTTTTCATGAAGGAGTTCAAAAGGACTTTTCCCAGCTAAAGTAGAAGAAGGCAACCTGTTAATGATATAACAAATTGTGGTGACACACTTTCCCCAAAATTTAACAGGAACTTGGGAATGAAATTTAAGGGATCTAGCCACCTTTAACAAATATTTGTGTTTTCTTTCAGTAATACCATTTTGCTGAGGAGTATGAACACAAGAGCTTTGATGAACAATACCCAAGGAAGAAAAAAAGGAAGAACATTCATTAGCAAAGAACTCAGAACCATTATCACTTCTAATGAACTTAATTGTAACTGAAAAATGATTTTTGACATAGGCAAAGAACTATTTTAAAGAGAGGATTGCATCACTCTTAAGCCTCAACAAGAAAAGCCAAGACATTCTTGTGTGGTCATCAACAATGGTGAGAAATGGCCTATAACCACTATGAGTAGAAACCCTATAAGGTCCCCATAGGTCAATATATATTAGATCAAAAGGTTTAGATGCTCTAGAAATACTCTGAGGAAAGGGTAACCTAGATTGTTTAGCAAGAGGACAAATAGAACATTTATGGATATTGTCAGCATGAAATCTATGAGACTGCAAATATGGTATTTTATGTAAACTGGAGAAAGAGGAATGCCCTAAACGAGCATGCCAAAGCTTAGTATTATTGATAGTTGAAAGACTCATACAATTCGAAGAATTACAATGTGGAACAAGAAAAATACCGGAACCAAAAGTGGAGGAATCAAAAAAATACAGCTCGTGAGACTCTCTACCAATCCCCTTCATCTTTCCAGTGGAGAGATCCTATAAAATACAAAAGTTAGGATAAAAAGAAACACTGCACTTGAGCTCTTTGGTTAGCTTGGAAACAGAAAGAAGGTTATGAGCAAATTGTGGAACAAACAAGACATTGACAAGGGAATAATTCTGGTTAAGGTAAAATGAACTTGTATGTGTAATGGGAGCTATTTGGCCATTAGGTAAATGAACAAACCGAGAATCTGATGTGCATGGGACAGGAGATATTAATTTTGTAAAATCGGATAACATATGGTCAGTAACGCCTGTATTTAATATCCAATTGAAAGGAAGACTATTATTTACAGAGTCAATACCTGCAGTATTTGATGCTGAATCCACAGAAGGTTCCTTATTCAAGAGGTGAAGTATCTGATCATATTGGGCTCGTGTGAACATAGGAATAGAAGAGGCAACAACTTGTTGTAACTCAGGACTCGATGGATTATGAGAACCAAGCACAGATCGAGTGGAAGTCAAAGCTGCTTGACTGTCTTTCTTCTTGGAGAACTTAAAGTCAGTAGGGAATCCAATTAAACGGTAGCAGTTCTCACGTTTGTGCCCTCTAACCTTACAGTAATCACACACACCAGAGAATCTCTTTCTGTCAATGTTTCCAGCAGAGTTAGAATACATAGCTGAGACTTCAGAGATTGGAGAAAGAGCAGAAGAATGAATCCTCTATGACTATTATATTTTTAAAGATATTAAAAAATATTATATTTCTGTCAATATTAAAGATTTATTAAAATAAGAATAGTATATTATATTTTTAAAATTATTAATAAATATATTTTAATATTTTTTATTAAATATTATTAGACTATTATATTGATATTAAATTCAAAAATATTATTATTCATTATTAATAATTCAATAATATTTTTTAAGAAATTAATAAATAATATAACTTTTATTAATAATTTATTATATATTATTAGAAAAGGAATATAATAATATCATTTATTATTATAATATAACTAACTATATAATAATAGTATTATTATAATATATTATATTATTAAAAATATTAATAAATATACTTTAAATATGCCAATAATTAATATTTTTATTAAAATGATACTAAAACATCATATTAATATTAAATACATAAAATAATATTATTTTAAGTATTTATGCTTTGAAGTGAAAAGTTCGGAAAATAACTTGTGAAAATCAATTCGTAAGTCATTTTTCAGAAAATGCAAAGAAAATTATGTTGATTAGGAAAATATTTTACATTGACCAACTTGTTTTCCTCCAATTAAACACTGAAAAAATGAGGGAAATGTTTTACATGAAACAAACATACCCTAAATCCCTATTAACAGGATCATAAGCAGCAATGTTCCTTAAACCATGCGGCCGTTAACTGATTTCATAATGTGTTGGACAATCTGACCCGTTGTCCAGGTTTCGCATATTGGCCATACATTCTCACATTCCTTCTCGCCGTACCAATCAAATGCATGCAATGAGAATGCCTCTCGCCTTCTAACAGCTCTCTTCAACATTGCACAAAAAGAATGCCAATCATTGCCTTTTCTTGGCAATACTATGTTCCACAAGGTACCTGCATGTCAATGTTAAACTTCCACGATCAGAGAGCTCAACACACAACTCTATCATTTGATTTGGATATATGTGTTTCATTAATACCAAAAGTTAACCCAATGAAAGAAATAGTCAAAGCATCCAACAACCCAATTAATGAATTTTGTAAAGAAATTACATCAGACTGTATACCTGATTCTTAGTGCATTTTACTTAACATTTTAAACAAATTTATCACAAATATGTGCATGTATCCCACAAGACATTCATTAACTTCTGATGCTTCTTTCTTGTGCGTCGCTTATCAGCATTAGAGTTGACAAAAGGCTGGCTCAGATTAAAAATAGTATAATTTTGCAGATGGGACATTCACCATAATCATGAGAAAAAACAAATGAATTGAGGTTTCTGACAATTGAGAGAAGTGGCATAGTGGAATTACTTACTTTCCTGTGTAGAAGCCAGCAGAATACCAGGCATTCAAAAGTACGGAGAGATCGGTTACACAATTACCATGATTCGTTTCCTCTTCACCATCCTTCTTCTCCTTGTTCTCTGCATTCAATGAAAATATAAATCTATGAGAAATTTAATAATCACATTAAAATTTTGCGAAACTTCACATTATCAAACAACAATAAGGACAGAGTGGACTACTCAGCTTGGGTTAAATTTACGGGCACAATAACATTTCATTTTTAATAACATGTAACATATGCATGAAAGAATAAAACACAAGCCTGATAAACTTTTCAGGAGGAAAAGCCATACCTTCATTTTCGTTCTGATTAATTGAAGCTTGTGTAGTCAAAGAGGATATCGCTCTTTCTGCAGCTCCCATAGCCGTTTTAACAATGTCAGAGTCAATGACCGTCGGTAAGTTTTCACAAGTAATTGCACCATTTGGTTCAGCATTAATTTTACCAACAGATGTCCCAGCCAAAGGACAGCAAGGATACTGTGTGCACGGAGTCACCAAAGATTGACATACATACGGGCAACACGAACAGATGACAGTGGATTGTGAAGCTTGACTTGTACGAATAGGGTATTGCTGATAAACACAGGAGGTACCCCATGGTGCAGCTGTGCTATAACCCTCAGCCGAATATTGATAATCCCAACTACCACATTGCTGAAGCTGCTGCAGAATAGTCTGTCTCTTCTCTTCAACCTCGTAATATTGACTGAGTAATTGGTTATATTCCTGAGCACCTTGCAAATCCGAATATCCATTATTCCCATCTTGCTTATCCTGCATTGGCAGACTAGTTGTTGTATCTATGTAAGGTTCCGGAGTCTGTAACTTAACGGCACAATTTTCTTTAACCGGTTCAAGATCCTTTGCCTCTTCCGTTTCTGTTCCAGTAATCACTCCGGCATTGTTGTTCTCTCCTACATCCCTGGGTCTTCATGAACCAGCAAGAGAACAAAATTACCCAAAATTGAATTTTAAACTAACGCTACAATCGATCAGCAGGAGAAATTATGACATTCCCCTGTCTTAAAAAACATCAAAAGTATATTCCATTCAATTATAGTTTCTGCAAATTACCCAAAATTGTTTTTCTGCGAAGAACATACTATTAACCGTAAAAACACGAAAAATGAAAAAGAAAATAAAAGCTTACTTTATGGCCCCATCACCGCTTTGATGAACAGAAAAAGAGACATTGGCCTCGCGGCTTTTCAGTCCATGCATCTTCTGCAGCAAAAATGAAAACACCATTGAAACAAAATCCAATTATAGAACTGAAAAAGTTTGATTGCAGCCACAAACCCAGATAAAATGAAAGGTGAAGGTGAGAGAGAGAAACCTTGTATTTGGACATGGCGTTGTCAAAGGCGTCGATGAGGGAGGAGTCGTCCCAAAGCTTACTTTCTTTGCCCATCTTTTCGCTTCTTCTTCTTCTTCTTGTTTTTTTTTTTCTGTTCAAAGGTTTCTGGAGCAGTTTTACAGATCAGTGGATGGAAGGACTAAAACCCTTCTCCTTTCATTTGTTTCTTTTGGAAGCCCTGAACTCCCTTTCTGCTTTCCTTATTGAGTAAACTACACATTTAATACACTTAATTATCACTTTTATTCCATTTTGATCACCAAAATATTTTTAAAAAAATCATATCTAATATTTAATTTTTTATTTAATTTTAATCATTCCCTTTGAAAAGAATTAACAGTTTCTCGACATTAAGATATTTATTTTTTACTTGTATGAGATAAATATAAGATAATATATATTCAAATATTCTCAATCATTTGATATTGAACGTTTTAGACACTCTATACATGGCTCGAACTCGAAACCTCAAATAATAATAAAATTAATATATTTTGTATATATTTAATTATATAAATAATTATTTAGAATATAACTTTATTAAATAATTTTATTTTACATTAATATAACATTTAAAACTTTTATCAAATAGTTTTGTTGAAGACTGCAACCACGAGCATATACCCCGTTCCCCACTCCAGTCTTGGTGGGTTTAGGAAGCTTGTTTGTTGGGCTTTGGGGCTTTGTAAACTTTTGATTTCTTGAGCTTGTGAGCCATTTGTATGCGGCGTTCTTAATGAAGAGGCACATTTTGCAATTAGCAATGCGTATTAAATATTAAGGCCCAGAATGATTTTCTAAAGGAGATTTGAGTTTAAACGGTTGTCGATAAGATGTGTCTACGTAGTTAATAATTAAGAAATATTATAAATAAATATTATTTTATAATTATTTTAAATTAATAATAAAAAAAGGAAGGAAGAAGCATATAAAATAGAGTAAGATAATATTTATATGTTATTTGGAGATCAACAAGCATAAAATAAGATACATGTAGATGGTGTCCTGTGAATATAAAAATAGAGCATATAAATTTGAATACGATAAAAAGTTTTGACCAAATAAAGAAATTAATGCGTTTCTTTTTCGGCAGAATACTTGGCCGACAAGTTGAACATATCACATCGGACATTATTGTCCACGCGTTCCACCCAACTCAACAAAAATAAAAAAATCTTCTATAATTATATAATTTCGCCAAAGAAAATATAGTCAAATCAATAATCAAGTGATGAAAAGGTTTGATATTATTAATTATATTTGATTTTTTATTTACGTAGACCCGGGAATTTTTACATGACACCGTTTGATTATAATTTTACTTTTCTGACATCGTTTGATCAATATTTCCAGAACTAGCACCTTTTCTGCTGAGTTGGCAAAGGCGCGTCCCCGGGGGCGCGCTTTACCAGTGTTTTTCGGTTAGTTGGATGCCACGTGTGAAAGGCGCGTCCCCGGGGACGCGCCTTTGCCAACTCAGCAGACACGTATTTTGTTTTATAATAAATAGTTTATTTTTATTATTATTATAAATTAATAATATATTATGTAAAATGTTTCGATTATAATGTAAGAATTATCAAGTTTCGAGTATTTTTGATTTTGATTATCGATCTATTAATTTTATCAGTTAATTATTTAAATGTTATCAATCAATATAGTCATCTCATATCAATATTTAACGAAAATATTGATGCATAAGTTAATAAATTAGTATAATTACATATTTAATCTTCAAGACTTACATATTTTATAAAATTAGTCTTATTGAAAATTTAATTTAATAAATTTAATCCTCTAATCAGAACATGAAATGTGTCATCGTATACATAAATTTTTTAATAACTTTTAATTTGTTTAATTTAATATTTTCTCTACTTAGAAGGTGGAATTATTATTATATTTTAAAAAAATTATAACTAATAATATTAAATATTATATTAAATAAATATTAAATATATTTATGTATTTAAAAGTTAAAAAAAATTATTTAGGTGTACATACATTGACAAATTATATAAATGCAATAACATTAAATTATTAGAAATAAAAACATTCATTTAAAAACTTTAATTACATAAGAGTTAACGGTTATATGATGATAACAGAGCTGGACATTTTTTTCTATTGTGCCCGATGTTTCTACAATGCCCACATCGTTTTTGTTCTGTTGACTTCTCCCGAATATCCATATCACAATGTATTCTAGTAGATTTTGGACGACCTGAGTCCCTCAATAGCAATGGATCTGGTACAATTGTAAGCCAAGTTTGAATCTCATTTGGGTCTCTTTCGTTTCCTATGGGCGGAAACTCAAATTCATATACCTTGAAAACTTGTGAAAGTTGGTATACGGGATCAACATAATTTTTGTAGTCCAAATGCGAATGTGAGCAAGCAGCAATGACATGAGAGCATGGATATTTGAGTGCTTGAAAGAAACCACAATCGCACCACCTCTCTTGCAGATTAACTCTGAAAGAGTTAGCTTCAATCCCTTGCAGCGGACGTGGCATTTCGGTTACACGAAACAATTCACGGGTGCGAGAAAAATTTGTAACTAACATCCCATTTGATGTAGCCACTTTTTTCTGTAAATCGGCTACTAGTCTTGGGTGGTAAATATGTCCGTTTTGCATCCAAGTAAGAGCTTGTCCACCGAGTTTTGCAAAGAGTTGACCCAAACGAAAATAAGTCGTTTTGACCAACGCCGTGACTGGTAAATGACGCGTCCCCTTTAAGGTTGAATTTATTGCTTCAGCCAAGTTTGTTGTCATATGACCATAGCGATACCCCCCGTCATATGCATTTGTCCACATTTCTTTGCTGATGTCCATAATGTACTCGCACCCCTTCTTATTTTTGCCAAACAGCTCTTGTAGCATCGACTCAAACCTTTGAGGTAAGAGTTCGTAACCTAAGCCATTAGGAATATGTAATAGTTAATATGAAGTATAAATAAGTAATAAGAAATTGATAGAAAAATTGGGAAAAAGTAACATACCCATCCGCACGACTAACTGACGTTCATCGTTCTTCTTGTATTTTCCGTAATAGTTTGCAGCAATATGACGGACACAATAACGATGTTGAACATGTGGAGGTCTATACATTGTACCCAAAGAGTCCATTGCTGCTTTTATCCCGGCTCCTCGGTCTGAAATAATGCATAGTCGTTCCCTGGTGACAACATGTAAACGTAAATTTTTAAGGAAAAAAGCCCAAGACTCAGTGTCTTCTCCTTGAACGAGGGCAAACGCAACAGGAAGAATATTGCGGTTTCCATCTTGGACCACAGCCAATAATAAAACTTGCTTGTATTTCCCATACAAGAAAGTACCATCAATTTGGACAATTGGTTTACAGTACTTGACTGCATTAATACACTGAGGGTAAGTCCAAAAGACTCGGTAAAATTGGCAGTGATCGCGAACCATTCGATCATTCACGTAATGATGTTGAGTTTCGAACTCAACAATTGTCCCGGGATTAAGTCTTTGCACAACATGAAACCAATTGGGCAGCTCGTTGTAAGAGGAATCCCATTCGCCATGAAGTTTGCAAATGGCATTCTGTTTGCCAACCACGCTTTTTTATATGAGACAGTGTACCCATATTGTGACTGTATAGCAGAAATCAACACTGCAACAGCTATATGAGAGCTTTGCTTCACAATGGGCATGATTGCTTGACAAATAATGTTGGAGTCCAAGTTGGGATGATCCTGGTTTATACCTGTTGCACAACATGTATGAGGACCGTTGTATCTGGTTAGTTCCCATAAGTTGTTCTTCCTCTTCCTCTTTGATACACGGATCATCCATTGACATCCGTTATGACGTTAGACGCAGTAGCAGACATATTTCTCCGTGTTAGATCGATCAACTCGGGACTGAACTGAGTTACGAATATTGTAACTCTTTATTGCCATCATTGCTTCCTACTTCGATGCGAACTCCATTCCAATATGTAAATTACCGTCATTGACTGATGATTGAAGTCCATAGTTGCCAACATCAGGAAGATCTGGAAATTCAGGCTCATACATTGCATCATAATCAGCCTCATACATATGTGCAGGAAGTTCGGCTGGTGTTGTATTTATCGGAACGTCATCCTCGTCATCATCAGAATGTACGTTAAACTGTGGTGAGTCAGGTTCAACGAATAATCCCGTTTCAGCACCATCTGCACCTGGCTCCCGAAGAGGTTCTTCTGGTGGAGATGAGGGTTCCTCCGATAATCCAATGTTGAGGTCAAATAAGTTCCCGCTTGCGTGTCCTCCCCTTGAACTTGAGGCCATTGTATCATGTGGGATGTGAATAGACTGTCGTCTCGTTGGCATTTCCATATGTAAGTCGAAAACATTGGCAGATGAATGTCTGCCCCTTGAAGTAGAAGAGATGTTGCCATATGGATTATTGGTGAAGCCACGTAGGTTGAGATCATAAGCAGTTGCAGATGAATGCCTTCCTATTGAACTTGATGGCATGGTATATGGCGTTGGATCCGCCATAAATGATGTGAAATCATTACAGATAAGTTGTGTCGGGCTATCAACTTGATCAGTTTGATATGCAATGCCAAAGTGAGAGGAATATGAGAGACCACGAGTTACACGAACCTCAATAAAAGTGACATACATTTCAATAAGAGATTGTGAACTCCCCATATGAGCATCAACCATCATAGAAACATCATCATCGTTTGAAAGCTGAAATGATGTATACGTGAGCGGAAAAAGTTCAGTAGGAAATCTGTATTGAAGTGAAGATAGTCTTCTCTGGCCTGATACACGAATCTTTAACGAAATTTTTGTGATTAACTCCTCAATTGTGATGTTTCTCTTCAAGGTTAAGGGGATATAATGATCTGACTCAAAAACAACCCCCTCTTCAGCTTCCTTAATTTCTCCATCATACAAAACAACAGCAGAAAGACGACTCATTTTCAGAGAATTTGAGAATTTAGAGTTTGGGAATTTGAGAATTTGAAAGATTGTGAACTGAAGTTTGTTTTGAAAGTTTATAATACGTTGTATATAATAGTGTCTATAATCGGTTCACTATTCACATGAAGGCGCGTTCCCGGGGGTGCGCCTTCCATTATTTCGTCAGTGAATATTATCATTGCCCTATTATGTCACTCATG